ATCTGACATATTGGTAGTGCTGGACACTTTTAATGCTGGTTTTAATTTTCTGTGTATTATGTTTTTTTCATATTTTTTTTCATATACCACAGTACCAGTCATGACGCTTCAGTAGGCAGCATGTTGTATAATTTTCTTTGCTGCTAGAAGCGCCGTTGATCGCTGTGCAGAGTGTTTTGAGAAGCGACCCCTGCTTACTCTGCATACCCTTCTTACTAACAGTTATAACTTTATAACCACAATTCCCCATATATAACTGTTCAGCATTGCAGAATTTATAGCTACTGCTTCAGCCTGCGCCTGAAATTTATGATTACATGTAATATAATTAGGTCTGCTATTAATTGCATATCAGTTAAGCAAAATCCCTAATATTATTGATTTTTCACTGTAATAATTATTAAAGTCATTCCAGTTAAGCAAACATGTTGTTACCAATCTAAGTATATGGTAATAATCAATAAAAATGTCTCTATGTATTTAACTATATGGTTATAATCAATTAGACGTGTCGCTATCTAGCTAAATATGCATTATTAATGTAATAAAACATGTCAGTGAAACAATTCTTATCAAGCTAAGTACAAGGTCATAATCAATAAAACATGTCGCTATTGAGCTGAATATACATTAATAACCTAATAAAATGTGGATTATACTACTAAGCTAAATGTAAATGATTTTTTAAATAATAGCTTAACTAATAAAAATATACATTTTCAAAAATGTATTTTATCAATGTAAAGGCTTGCCACCGTGGTAAAAAAAAATACAGAATCTTAAAAAAGAACATGATGCAAATTCTTGGTCATACTGCCCAGTACTGCTCAGACAAAATAGGATGTCAAATCCTGAAAATATTGATACACTAAAGGTGAGTTATTTTTTTGCTACTATCACATCATGTTATGGTGTAGCATGGCACAGGGAAGGGCAATCCATGGCGTGGCTCCCGCAAAAGGGATTTATTCAATAACAGTACAGAACTCGAAGGGGAAAACAGAAAATACAGGGTCCACAAGGGGTCAAAACCAAAACAGGAATACTAAAGAGTAACTAAATGAATTACAAAGAAAACAAACACTGGAACTACAAGAAGGTTGGGAGCAAAACCTGGGATAACTAAACCAGGGATATGAAGCAGCACAGGGAAGAGTGCAGCTACAAACAGGAGAACAGCTACAATGACAGAATAAAGAACAGAATGAGGGCAGGCACTTAAATCTACACAGATAACAAGGGCTAACAAGGGGCAGGTGTGGAACATAACCAAAAACAACAAATTAAACCCAGTAAAGGCACGGGACAATAAGCAACAGGTGGAATAAATTACAAGTAACAAGCACTGGGACTAGGAAACATTAACAAACACTGAGGGCTAACAACACTTGGAGAGATTATGAACGAAAGTACAAGCAGAACAAAATTAAACAAGGCATGAGCAGGGTAGACATAGAAAAACAACACCAAAGGTTGATGATTAAAAAAAACAATATACATTAAACAAAAGGTAGCTGGCCTCTGGCCAGGTCTCAAACTCATGACTGGAGGGGATCAGCATCTGACCCACACATTCAACTGACTGAGGTATGAAGCAGCCTGGGGAGCAGGGAAACCCACTAGGAACTGAGGGGCTACAAGATAGAGAGAGGGAGGCAAGATGCCCAGCGACACCTGCTGGCCAAATGGGGACAAGACATATGTAACACGGCACCAACTTTGACATATCAAGCTTGTTTTTCTATAGTTTTTTTTATTATTATTTATTTTTCTATAGTTTTTGACTGGTTTGACTATTTCAGAAAGTAGTGAGTTTGCTAATTTCTCATCCTATTATTCGACATCCTATTTTCTCCAGTAGGTAAAATAATTTATGCTTTTCCACATAGAGTACAATTTATCTCTTCCAATTGCCTTCCATCAAGAAGTGTAGTGATTGGAGAGGAGACTGGCCAATCAGGAATGAATTAATTTGGGTCTCTGACTAGTTAATAATTTTACCACAAATGTAACCTTGTGCTGAGTTGAGTGAGCATGTAGACCGAGTTGAGCACTGAACAGGCTGCTTGTGAAGGTTCCAGGAATGAGACACAAATATAACACCATATTTATTTGGGGGGGGGGGGGTTGCGTGGGACCAATAACAATAAACCTGCCCCTAGGGATAAACCCTGCACAGGATGTCAAATCAAAGCATGTTAGGGCACATGCACAGTCATGCTATTGACACATCAGTGATCCCAAGGGTCTGTCTTTAGACCGTGGGAGAAAACTGAACTATCTGGAGGGTAGATGCACAATGATGCTTGCAGATTCTACACAGGATTCATACCTCTAACCCGTAAGTACCATGGCATCTCTATTATTCTAGTTCAGAAAAATGGTCTTAATTTAATATCAAAAGAACAAATATAGAAATATGAGTAGCAAATAATACGAATCCAGACAACAGCACAAAATCAAACACACATTTTTCCAGTAAATTCAATTTCCTCCTTTCTGTTTCCTTGTTGATGTCATAATTTTATTATTACTGCTCCAAGCCTTTTCCTTGCTGCAAAAATGTTCACATGTACTGAGGTGAACTGTCTGCTTGCTCAGCCCTTTTTCTAAAAAAAAAAAAAAAAGAAAAAAGAAAGAAAGAAAAAAAAACTCACAGCTAGCAGGAAATGTTTGTGTGATTAGGATTTGAGATTTAAACTGTGCTTAATCTCTCCGGCTAGGAACCTTCGGCTGAGGCAGAAATATTACGGCTGGGGGATGCGTGGATATTCGTCGCGTCTTTACCAGCAAAGCTTACCGTAAGGAAAGTCAAACGATTTTACTCGGTGCATTTCCACTTATTCAAATGCGGGATCGAGATTGTAATTTAGTCATTTAGATTTAGTAATGTTAGTAAATGAGATGTAAACCTAAGAGATCATTAAACTTTAATTTTCCAATTTAATATGCGTGTGAAAGTCTGAGATTAAAAAGAGCCTTGCGGGGTTGAGACGGCCGCCGAAGCGCAAAACCCGAGGCCCGTATAATCCACCCGTCGAGCAACAATAAGAAAGGACAGCAGAGGGCGCCCGCTCAGAGCGTGCAATGTGGCCCCCATGCAGGGCAACAAACGGCGGTGCTTGGGAATGGGCTGACATCTGAACTCTGAACCCATAAGCGGCTCCGTCTCCCCCAAGTTGTCGCGTCTTCCTGCCTATCGGTTAGCTCATCTGTAAGAAAAACTGGAGTGATTATTATGGCTGGAGGGGGGGTGATGAAAAGGTTGGAGTGTCTAGGCTGGTTGCAGCTGTAGACATAGAATTAACAAACAAGCATCAATACGATTTCTGGCCCTCTGGCTTCTCACGCTCTGTGACCTCAGTACACAATGCATAGCTATTTAATATTCTCGATTAATAACTTAAGTCTATCATTAAAAAGCAATGCAATTCTGTTAAAACTGCCCGGCCTCTGCCTTTCAAATTGTTCACCATTAAAGACGATAGCACGTTTTTTTTCTGTAGTGAGAAAGAGGCGATCGGCTACCTTCTGTCATCAATAAAAAAAGTTCCATAAATAATGTCATATAACTAAAGATTACAATGTAAGGGCAGGTTTAGGGAATACTGTGGGATTATGCTTTTTAACCTGCAATTCTTCCGGTTGCAAGGTAATTCCCTCATAATTCGCTCCTAATGCATCACATCACTATTCATTTCAGCCCTGTAGTTTTCAATGGACATAAAAATATTGATTGATCTTGGAAAACCTTAAACTGGCATTTCCCTCGCTGACCCACTGGCATTAAGCACAGGGCCCCCTTGGTTCTTTGCGATAGTTTGCCAGTATACTCTGGCTTCCTGGCTTTGTGCACAAAAAAAAGGAGGGGGGGGGGGGGACTACAGACCTTTTACTCTCCTGCTGCTTTTCACTGGAAGTATCTGAAAAGGTTTCCCTCAACCGTTGGAATTTGTTTCGGTTATTTAATATCCACAACAGCGTGGGCAGACCGTGGGCTACGACCTTACACAATAAAAGCCCCAATCAAGGAAATGTACATTACTAAACGTGATAGGCGCATGCAGTGCACTTAATCGGCACACGTCAGATACATGGGCCGAGGCGGCGGCCGTAAGCGGACGTGAAGCCCTGCGGCCATGGATCTCCCCGGACATTGGGCGTGTTTGAAATATTGCGGCAAAGACAAATGCCGAAGTTTCGGGAAGATGACGCTCTGACATTCCCGCAGCATAAAATAGCATCAAGGATACGGTCTCCTTTCTGGGGGAAAAAAAGCTGTCAGAGAGTCACAAGCCCATTACCCCCAATCAATACTGAGCACTGGGCAGAGATGCAAACGGCTGCATCGTTAAGCTCTGGCACCTGGATCCACCGGGGGGGGCATGACACCGGGGGGTGTCAAGGCTTACACTTCACACATGTGATTTGTTATTAAGGACGCCGAAGAAAGGAGAATTTTAGTGGCGCACGTGTGTTGGTGTTGGGGGGGGGGGTAAATTCACTCACTCGTCACACATCGTTACGGAAACATTACATAATTACATGCGATCAGTTCATCTATTGACATCCAACATCATATCATTAATATACTGTAATCACTGTACCCAACCACGCCGGGAAAACACATTGAGGTAATACACAACTGTCGTGCAGTAACCAACTGAGCGAAAACACCTAATTTTATATTCAGTTCACTCTGAATAAAACGTTAATTCTCTTGTTTAATTTAACCTTTAATTTCAAATAATTAGAAAAAAATCTTAAGGAAAGTTTAAGAATTATTTTACACTGGCAATTTAAATGTATATATTAGGCCTAATATTTAAGTGGTTGTGTTTCTGTGTGATTAAATTACAAACCATTTTAGTATATTGATATTAGACTATTAAATTAATTATTTTATGTTTATTAAGACTGATAGCCTTGGCAGCAGATGTGTACCGACAAATGAGTACATGCCTAAAAACACATCAGAAAGACATCATACGCTGCACTTCTCTCGGCAATAGGGCGCATTTTTAAGAGAGCGCGGTGGGAAACGAGCCCCGGGTCCAGCACAGAGCATGGGCACTCCTCCTGTTTAATATTAGACGTACTTCCCACCCCTCTCCTGCATCTCATTTTCGGGAGCCAGTTGTCGCTAGGTGAAAGCAGCGCCTCCAGATTGAAGCAGGTGTCCAACATGGCGATCACGGGCAGCGGATCTCTCTCTGCGGCGCTCTTTTTATTCGCGGCGTCGGCGGCTCATCTTCTCCTCCGAGGTAAGGTCCGTAGGTTGCTTCGCTGCCGGCTGCATTTCCGCGGCTCAGATCTCACCGCGGACGGCGGCTGGAGAAGTTAGCGAGGCGATCCGACGCTGGGTTGCGCTCGCAGGAGCGCCGAGGATGCATTAGGTCGATGGTGCGGTCCGAGTCAAAGTAACTGAATAGTGCTCAGAAGTTTCATGATGATCTTAAAAATAAGGAATCGTCCACAACTCAGGAGTAGGCTATTCTGCAAAAATAGGGAAAACCTTTCAGACTTTACTGGTATTTAATTTGCGCGAATATGTATTTTTGTTACTTTGCAAATGTTGTGAGCTGTAGATCACTGATAAAAGCGGAAAATGCGGCGGCAGCCGGAGCAAAGGCTCCTCGAGCTGCGCACCTCCAGTGGATCCCAATGGTGCTCCGTGCGGTCCGGCTCCGCAAAACACGCCGAGTTGGCGAGTTCCCCAGCTGTGAGCTTGGGATCATTAGGGCAGCGAAATGAAAATGGCTGTCCGCCAAAAACATATACGAGCAAGAGAGATTGATGGAAGTTACACCTTTTTAAAGCGTTTTGAAGGCTGCCGATCAGTTACCCCTCTAAGCAGGGAAAATACATTAAGCACAGAGCAAAGAGGAGGATTCAGAGAAGCTGATGATGAAGAGGGGAGGGGGGCGCTGGGGGGTGTATTAGTTCAGCCACCAGCATGGACGCTTTTTTCTTTTACTTTACAAACAATCGTGCTGAACAGAATTGACACGTTATGATGCCGGATACGCGATTTTATTTTTTCTGTGATTCATTTCTGCAACAGTGTATTTAGTGCTGGGATCTTTCTGAATATCGCAGCGAGAGAGCAAGTGGTGATTTTTGTAGTGTCGGCAAACCGACAAATCATACGACTGCACCATGGAACTGGCTGTTTTTTTTTCTTAATGAAAATGCGTCATGCTTGTATTACCAGTTACGATGTATCCATGTATTTCACACGCTCGTATGCCGACAGGCACCGGGTTCTAAACCACCGAAATAAAAACACATTTTTAAATTTGACTGCCTGCTTAGTTATAAAGTTATGCTTAGGACTGATGCGTATTATAAACTACACATGCCGCATTTATGCAAACATCTTTGTTTCTCCGACTTCTTTAAGCATCGCACGTCAGATTTTAAAAGGGCAAGGTGAACAGTCTTGTGATTTATCGTGGTCCAGCCGTAGCGGACTCCCACGGATCTGCCCGCAGTAGCGGATCTCCTACCGAAACCGGGTTTTAATATGCGTCTTACCACCGTGGTGGGGGTGGGGGGGCAGGAAGCTCGGGGTTATCCCTAGCAAACTTGTTCAATGCAGGAGTGCGACAATGCGGCGCTTTTAGCTGGATGTTGGGGAGGTTTGCAAAGTCCTGTCGTGGCGAGATTTGCTGGCACCAAGAGGGCAGTGTTTGCTGAGAGATGATGGGGGGTTGGGTTGCCTCTTATTAGTTCACGGCAGCGGCTCTTTTTCGCGTGCGTCTAGTTGGGGGGGGGGAATCGCATCGTGTTTAACCTTTAGACATCAGGAAGATACGATATGCTGTGTATTTAATACTTTTGTTTTCCCTCAAATGAAGTTTTACATCAACAGGTTCGGCGTTTGCAGGGACTGTTGTAGTGTTATTTAGGTCTGCGTGTGGGAAAACGGTGGAAATAAAAATGCTGAAAGCGTATGTTAGTGGTCTGTGTGTGTGTGGGGGGGGAGTCCACTGTTACAATCTTAAGTAATTGTATTGGTCGAAAGCGAAGTCGACTGCTGTCTATGCTTTTACATACATATACATAAATTGCTTCTTTACGTCCAAAAGTCTACGTTGAAAGGTCTGATTGCCTGCCCGAAATACAGGTTTTTATTGCCGATTTTTTTTGCTGCCTTCCCTTTCTGTTGTGTCCAGTCGGTAGCTACAATAAGCAGGGAGTTTCAGTTCCTTCCCTCCGTGGGCGTCATTTTAATAGGGAACTGTGGGTTTCATCTACCGATCAGGTCTAATGCGTTGAGTATTCATGAATGCCAATACCATAAACATGGCAGGTAGCTATTCCAATATACATATTTTGAATTAAAGCAATTTTATGTTTAGGAATTGTTGACAGACTTTGATGGGAAGTCCATGTTAAAAATAGCCGTTTTGTTATCAAAATTTCGAATTGAACTGAAATTGAGTGTAGTGGGACCATTTACATTCAACTACAGTATTGACTTTATGCAAAGAGAGGTGGGCAGAGAGCATCAATAATTTACTAGCATGCCCAATACAGTATGCTAAGCATCGCAGGGTATTTTAAGATTAATGTAGCCGGTGCGAAGAGGTATGAATCGCAGTGACTCCTAGCCAAGAAACTGCTCCCCCTTTTGTCGATCGCTGTCAGATGTCTGCACCTGAGAGGCATCGCAAACGCAAAGGTACCGCTCTGGTTTCCCCAACGGTGTCAATCAGCTCGTTCGGATATCCTTTAAATCAGGGCAATGATCACAGGTTTAAACAAGGAGTGAAAGCTCTCAGAAATATTAATGCAAAGTTGGCTTGCTTCAAAGGGTTCAGCCTAACATGTCAGCTAACTGTTGCTTTGTTCTCTATTTCATTTCTTGCAATTCTGTTGCTTTCATTTTTTTTTTTCTTCAATGTTGGACCTCTTCGGACCTCTCTGTGACCAGTAATGTGCACCTATTGACTTAATTTTCAACAGTATTTTAGGTCTTAAATTACGGCACTAAAGTGCTATAATGCTGCAGCAGTTTTCTAATTATGCTTGTGAACCTACAGAAAAACAACAACATTCAGCAGTTTCCCAAAAGATGCATTTATTGGGTCAGTTATTTTTGGATTGTTTACATATTCCCGGGGAGGGGGGGGGGGGGGGGGGGGGGTTGTGTGTGCAGTAATTTATGCTGTTTGCTGTTCTGGCTTTCACAGAAATGCGCTTGTGTAGAGCCTGTACACGTAAACTCAGATTGGACAGAGGGGAGGGAGGGGGGACACCTTTCTATCTGGCAGGAACCTTTTTTGCAGCATTCAGGACCAGAGTAAAATGGCACCCTGAACCCCCATCAGAGATTTCCTGTTACTGGCGAATGAAAGTGCTCACTGTAGTCTGGCTTTAAGGCAACCAAGGCTCCTTTTGTGTGGTTTGATGTTTTTTTTGGGGCTCAGGTAAGGTAGACCACAAAGTAGGGAAACGTCTCCTAAATGCGCCTCCTGTTGACTCTCAGTTTTCCAGAGCCACAGGTAACGGCGATTAGCAGAGATGGCACTTAAGCTTTCAGTCATTGTGGGGGGGGGCGATATAGGGATTATGTCACCAACGGACAAACTGCATAAGAGCGCTGTCACAAGCGTGGCTTTGAATACGACGTATGACAAAAGGAGGATAAATCTGAGCAAAAAAGGTAAAAAGGAAAAAGTGTGTTTTCTCCCCACAGACCAATGCAACAGTTCCTGCATTTGCAAACCTAAGTTCAGGCCGTGGATTTTTTTGAGTTACGTTCACACGCCGGTCCTCCGAGGACGTAAATTGCCGGGACTTGTTTGAATGCGTATTTGAAGCTGTTGAATTAACGGCGGATGGGCGCCTTTCCCGAACCCTTTCGCATTTGCATGATTACGAGAGCGCGTCTATACGTCCCTGCGAGTGCCGCCTCTCTTCCCAAGCATTCATCAAATCAGCCGGGCACGCTTGGCTGATTTGTGTCCTCAGCGGTGCTGGTGGTGGCGGCTGACGATTTTGAGCTGTGCGTTTTTTGAGACCCCACCTCCATCCCCACCAAATAAAACCAGTGGTTTCCTCCAGCACTTGAACCAGCTCTCTGACTCCGTCGTGCCCTTCCCCACTCTGCTGCATTCATTTACATTTTATTTATTTAGCTTTCACTTCTATCTGAGGCTATGTCCGCTTGAGATGGCTGGGTCAGACAATCCCTGGAGCATTTAGGGGTTAAGGGCTTTGCTCAGGAACCCAGTGGTAAAATCTCTCTGCCAGTCCTTGGATTTGAACCTGCAACCTTGTAGTCATAGGCACTGTGTCCTAACCCCTTGAGCTACACACTATCCCCTATTAATACCCCTCCCAGCAGTGCTGCCCATTACTAAAGATCCTAAATCGAATTGTGCTCCAGTTCATCTCCTCTCCATGTTCGTCCCTCACCGACTTTTGTGGAACGAACACGGCGTTGCTCCGACGCGACCTGCACCTGAGACCGCAGACTGTTCCTGTTTCGTTTCTCCGGCCGGAGTGAAAATACATTACGATGCTGCTATAAAAGTCTGCTAATGAAAGGGAGTGGGTTAACCAGAATTGCATTATTTTTCTTTTGCTTGTGGTCTGCATTTTCCGAGATCGCTTTGGCAGCCGGCCTAATACCTCCAGCCTAATTTCCATGACTTTTTATTTATTTATTATTTTTAAGTGCATTTTCACTAGTTTGCCTTTGCACTGAGTGGCTACCATTCTATTTATAAGTGATGGTCTAATAATATATTCATTTTCGTCTTAGACACATTTTACAGAACAGTTTTCTCATGATTAATAATTGGCTTGTCGCTATTTTTGGTCATATTGCGATGGGTCTTCTCGAGAGTGGAATGGAAACCAGTGGATTGTGAAGTGACTTGATGTTTTTGATGTCCTCAAAGGTAATTGCAGATTTTCATCTTTGAGTAGTATGTTAGTTTTGGGGTGGGTTGTCTAAATTGTTAGTTTTAAATAAAGCAACATTTCCCAGCATGACTTATCGTTCCCCAGCTTTTGTCTGACTGACTTAGGTACTGGCATTTATAACATGTAACAAACCCTTTACAATTTTTTGGATGAATAGCTGATAACTTAAGATCTTGGTAGTAAAAATGAAAACATACATTTTTTTCCCCAGCTTTATTTTTCCCTCCTCCAAACTGTGGCCAGTACAGCCACAGTGGGATTCAGTGATAAAAACCGTAGTGCATGATAGATTGATCTGAGGGTTTGGGGTTTGGAAATGACAGCT